TTAACCCTTATTACCATTGTAACAACTAAGGCGAAGCGCCCATCGACATGAGTGACGTTGAGTTGGCCACGCCCACCCAGTCACATGACCACTGAGCTCCACCTACCCAGATAGTCATTAGGGCAGAGAACCGGTTGTTAAATTATTTGAATCTCACCACTGCATAGGAGCTACATGGATTGGACAATTACTCCATGGGAAAATGTACACAGCTCACCTGATTCAACGTCCTTTGATACTCACGGACTCCATAACTACTACTGAGGCGGCCTCTCTCTTTTTCTCATCATGCTCAAATGCGAAACCCCATAATTTCATATGATTTCGTAATTAAAAGAGTTAATTTTAGCAGAAATTCCTCTCCATCCCTAGTGTAACTTAGACGATTAGATTCTTGGCAAGGAAATCACCTTGAGTAAAAGCAAAACAGAAATACGGAAACTGTATTTATAGATATCCCGTGGGGGCCCAGATTGAGAAATTGCTCAGGATGAACCACAGGCTTGTATACCGCAGAAAATGAGAATAGTTCTGTTTGAGAAATAGTGCTACAAGCTACACAAATTAACTCATCTGAAAACTCAGAAAGGAAATAATAGCAGAAACAAATCCTTGTATTATACTGTCATGCATAAAATCATTCTCTTGGCTGGGAATTTGTAACCAAGGTGGTCTCCTTCTCCCCTTCTACATTTTTGCAATTCAGGGTGATATTTCTTTCTTGTTGTCGGTGGCTACTCAAGAAAATGGAGTTCCCATCACTACACGGCTCAAAAATTGATTGAATGAAATTATTTTCTTAGATGCTGAAGCAATAATGGTAGCGTAGTCACACTGGATATTGTTCACGGGTTTAAAATAAGAAGGGGATTGTGTAATTTTTGAAAATTCAGTTTTAAAATCCATTTTTCAATATCCATAAAATAAAATAAAAACATTAAAAATATCAAAAACAAGCATCAGGTCATTTAGGGGAGTTAGAGCATTTGTTTAGCCTCAACCAGAATCAACATGATGTATCTTTTTGAGGATGGAGACTATTGCAGAAAAATCATGAATCTTCCTCTTAGTAATAAATAGTAATAGACTAAAAATAAAACCACATAAGAACAGATGTGGCTTCTTAGGGGCATTATCCTATGTATAATACAGATCTATTACTGACGACGGTGATCTAGAAATAGCATAAAGGAATACCACCCAGTTTGACAAATTCCTTAGACAGAAGAATCATACAGTTCCACAACTTTATGTTGCAATGGGTGAAACAGACTAAAATTAAATGGTACAATTGCTGTCATATCTCAACAGTAAAGCCATTGAGTCTTTTGTTATGTCTAGAGAAATAACTGTATTTCTTCAGAAATGCATTGCAGTATAAAACCACTTGTTATTTCCAAGCCAACATGACTTACAGGAATCCTGTAAAAGGAACATCAGGTGGAGATATACCAGTGGTGGGATTCAGCCGGTTCGCACCTATTCAGGAGAACCGGTTGTTAACTTTCTAAGCAGTTTGGAGAACCGGTTATTGGAAGAAATCTCCTTTTGTTTTTTTCCCACTTTACAGGGCTAATCCTGTAAGGAAGGCAGGAAGGAAACANTCTTTCTATCTTTCTTTCTTTCTATCTATCATCCTATCTATCTTTCTTTCTATCTATCTCAGGGTTGTCAAACCTCCTGGCTGCAGGTCGCATATAGTATAGCCTTTATTGTCATTACACAAAATACAGTGGAATTGGTTATTTGCCATGTGTCACACACTGGCCCCGCCCGGTTTAGTGAAAGGGGGAAAAGTCCTGATATGTACGGTCCACTATTTATCATCTACCTTTATATCCATCCATCCACATCTGTCTCTCTCCATTCCTCTATCCCGCTCTCTTTTTCTACCCCTCTATCTTATTTGCCGCTCTCGAAGGCCTCCCCATCTGCCTCCGCTCGCTAGTCTTTCTCTGCTTCTTCCATCTCAGGTTCAAAGAGGTTCGGGGCCACCCAACAGCGTGAAACCCATCAAGAGGCCTAAGGGGTGGTACCTGGTAGCCAGCCGGAAGAGGTCATCCACCGTGTCAGGATGGTTCTGGAGGCCGTTGGGTTGTTCAAGCAGCCGGAAAGTGGGGACACACAGCGCCTGGGACAAAGCCACAAGGAAACGGACGATTCAGCCCCAAAGTCCTCTTCAGGAGGGAAAAGGACCCTGAGCTTTTTAATTTAAGACCTGTGGACTTCAACTCCCAGAATCCCTCAGCCATCCACGCTGCCTGGGGGATTCTGGGAGTTGAAGTCCACCCATCTTGAAGGGGCCAAGGTTCAAATGTTTTAACAAGGTATGGTCCTGTCTACAACGGCTATTCTTTCTCCGTATTCAAATGTTGATTAAAATTGGATTTTTATACTGGTCGGGGGGGGGGATTGGAGGGCTCATCCGAATCTCCTGCCTCTCTAAACTTGACAACTTTTAAGACCTGTGGACTTCAACTCCCAGAATTCCTCAGCCCTCCCTGCTGGCCAGGGAATTCTGGGAGTTGAAGTCCTCCCGTCTGAAAGCATGCTGGAGATGGGGGATTCTGGGAGTTGAAGTTCACCGATCTTAAAAGTTCCCAAGATTGAGACACGCTGCTCTGAATCAGGGCTCCCTAATCCTGGCAAATTTAAGACCTGTGGACTTCAACTCCCAGAATCCCTCAGCCATCCATGCTGCCTGGGGGATTCTGGAGTTGAAGTCCACCCATCTTGAAGGCCCCAAGGTTCAAATGTTTTAACAAGGTATGGTCCTGTCTACAATTCTTGAAAACTTCTCAACGCAAACCAGACATTTCCTCCATCCGGTTTGCTTCAAGGAGAATATCCATCCACCACTCAGATGTTCTACTAAGCCAAGTAGCCTCTCTCCCTGCTGTCTGCGGTGAGGGTGAAACTCCAAAGCCCATCCTCCTCTTCCCAGGAGCCCCTGAGCCCT